CATTTGGGAAATTTCTATCGGTCTGAATTTTTCTTTACTAGAAATTATGAACAATTTGATTTTCAACCTCGAAAATGGGGGTCGACTTATACACAGATAAATACGGTAATTAACTCCTTCGCCTTCAGTAATTGCATTAAAGATTCTGTGTTAGAAGTCACAGCACCATAACCCAAAATCTAATGTTGTCCTCAGCACGATTTCATTTTTTGAGCAAGGCAAAGGTAAAAATCAATCAAGTGCCACGCAGACATCACAGATGTCAGATATGTAAAAGCTACTCTTTTCGTTAATTCAATGTCAATACTCTCCCTCATAGTAGCTATAATTTTTAGCCAACTTGGGAAATAGCAACCAAAAATGGACCCTTTTGGACGTCCAAACTTTTAAATTTCAAGTGGAAGATTCCCCAGACTTTGCCATCCAAGTGGGAATAAATGGCTGCCACACTGTCATTTTGGTCCCTCCCAGCTGCTCAAACATTGTCCCTCCTTTCCCCAATCCTACCAAAGCCTCCATATTTGTAGTAATAAAAACACTGAAGTGAATAGTGGTATCTCAGCAAGAGATGATAATCATGCACACTTTTAAGTGAGTCCTAGCAGATGTTTGGCAAGGTATTGCACTCTTTGCTCCAAATCTAGTTCACATAGTCTTGAGAAAAAAAAAATGGGTGTAGCAGTCATTCAGGTCGGTCAACTACTCCAAGCTCTAATTTGATACCACTGCTCATTTGGTTATCTTTCTTGCCAATACTCTTTCCAGTTATTTGGGTTTTCTTGGAAACTCAGGCTCTTGCCATTGAGGAGAAGCATGATATGCATTTACAAATTAAAAGCAAAGAGAAGTGGAAAAAAAAATAGGAGAGTAACTGGATGGTATCAGACAGTGGTATAATTTTTTTTTGCAGGGAGGTAGTTTATTTTTGAATCAGAGTATTAGCCTAAGTATGTCTAAGTTTCTACACTTGTTGTTTAGTCTTGTGATTTTCTACTTTAAGAAGTAAGGTAAAATTGTTTGAATTTGTTTTTTTATTACAGCCAATTGAGTCTGTAAATGGAAAGCAAACAAAATAATGATGGTAAGGAACAAATTGCTTGCACTTTAAATTACTGAAAGTAATTTGCCCTCTCCATATTTGTTATTTTTAATTGACATGCTTTGCTCAGGTGTTGTGTAATTAGTGGGAATAGTAAATAAGACTGTGCAGCAAATTAGCTCGTGCTGCAGCATCCCATATCCAATAAATTCAATAGAAGACCCTTTGGTCATTTCACGCCTTATTGGATCCTAACACATCCTTGAAAGAAAAGTTGCTTGAGATATATTTTTATCATAAACATTTATGAAGCTTTCTTCTGATATATAGTTTGCTAGGATTTTAGTGAAACTACTGTAGTGTGCAAACAAAATTTTCCCGAAGGACACCCGCGAAAATGGGAAGTAACCTTAAGCTTGTCGCATGCGATTAAGTCGTATCACATAAATCGGCCCTAAAAACGAAAAATTTACATTACTTTTAGATTGTTCAGTGAATACTTTGATACACAGTGGCTTTAGCCTCTGCATATCCTCTTATGTTTTTCTCTGAATACCTGGGTGCCAAGCAAACTGGTAACCACCCATATTCTCTCGTTCCCTTTAAAATAGGATTGTTGATCAATTTTTGCTGAGTTGACTACCATAGCACAAGATGGAGGACCACGTGGTGAGATAAACTAATTTCTTCTCTGCCATCCTGGGAGGGTTTCTCATACTTTCAGTATAGAACAGAATTTTTTACAACTCAACAGGAAATTGTCCCTTTTAAATTGAATGTTCTAAGGGAGTTCTTAAAATTGCTTTGAGGTTTAAAACCAGTGAACAAAGCTGTTATGAATTACACATAACTTCAGATGAGGGTGTCTGGCATAGTGAAGTACTGATGCATTTCGTCCCTGAGAAGCAATCAAACTTCTACTCTTTTCTCACATAAAACATTACTTGAAAATTAATAATCAGTGACTTAGATGTCAGGCATATCAAAGAATATTGGCACGGAAAGAGGTACTCTCCCTAATGGTTCATGTGCACATTCTAGGGTGAACGTTATTGTATCTCTAGTATGAACATTGGTGGTGATATTTTTGACAAAGGCCATCACTGGACGGCCATGTTTACGGATTTTGAAGGAAAGATTAAACCACAGAGGCTCAGGGCTAAACAGCTTTGTAAAATGTCGTGTATTGATAATACTAAGTGATACTTTTCCTATGTTTTGAAGAGCATGTAATTAACATGGACTGGCTGGAACAAGAAATAGTTATGGAAGAGCAGCTGGAAAGAGGAAGAGAAGAACAAAGAAAAAGGGAGGAGCAAACGAAAAGAGAGAAACAAAGAAGGGGAGAGGATCATTTTTCCGACACATACCTATACTTAAGTTATCCCTTTTAAAATTTTAAACCTATATAATATCTATGTCACTCACTAATTTTTCTTTTTTTCGAATATGTGAAATCATGATCTCTTGGAAAACTACTCTATCAGGGATATAAATTTAATGTATATTGTTTCTTTTTTTTTTATTTTTAAGTGAGCTTAGTGATCTTGTTTATATTAGGACAGCCATATTAGTACGTCAATGTGATTGGAGGACATTAAATATTTGGAAGAGAAATTTAAAACTTGTCCTTTGCTTACATAGATTTTTCTTTTGTGAAGCCCTACTAAGTGAGTCTTGATGTCATGTTAAGTTCTCCTTCGGTTCCACAAATAAACAGGCAGCACGTTGGAATGAGATGACAGTAGTTCATCTGCAATCAACCCTTCACTTATTCTGTTACAATGTTTTATCTGACGGTGAATAGTACCCGTGGGTCTCTACGTAGACGTTCACTTTGCTTCTCAAGCAACGATAAATCAATAGTTTGTCGTCAATATATGCACATGCATCTGTGTATACAGGGACTTTGGGAAATTTTCTTATTGCCTGAAGACATTTTTCACGCTAAAATGACTTAAATTCCAAGGGTGTGAATAATATGCAGACCCTTTTCAACAATCAGAACATCACAGTGGTGAAACATAACACCAAAACTTGCAGACTGATAAATAGTTTATGGGGAAGGCTACATTCTCTTTTCCAGCAAAATAATCTCCTCAAACTAAGTGATATTTGTCGAATAATCCCAAGGCTTTGTGCAGGGGATTCTGCAAAGTACCGGCTAAAATTATTGACTTCGACAATTATTGCCTTCTGACAACTACCCCCCGACCCAAAATTTTCTTACGCGAATTAAGGGTGCACTTCCAGCGATCTAACTTACAACTGCAGTATATCTGTTTATCCCTATTTCCATGTTTTGAGTGCATTCGAAAATCAAAACAATTTCACAGCTCCTACCCTGCAGGGGCAATGCCTCCAAACTTGACATATCTATTATTAACCCCTTTTTCCATTTTTCATTGAATGTGGAAATTCTCGAAAAAAGGAAATAAATTCTGACAATTTATCCAGCAATTAGAATATATCCCAATATGCCAAATCCAATCTTCACCCCAATTTTCCACTTTCTCGATCAACTCTAGAAACACGGGGTTAATTATAACAATTCATCCTACAAGTGGATAATATCATAACTTTTCCATATCCAATCTTTACCCCGATTTGTTCAATTAACTGNTTTTTTTCGTTTATTAGAGACAAATAAGGTAAAATCTGACAATTAATCCCACATGTGGGATATGCCAAAAATGGGGTAAAATCGGACAATTCATCCTGCAAACGAAACATACCCCAAATTGTTATGTGTAATCTTTACCCAATTTTTCATTATTTTCAGAGAATTCTGTTTCTTTTTGAGTGATTTTGAATAAGTCTGATTTCGTCGTTAATGTAATGCATCAAAGAAATCAGACTTATTCAAAATCGCTAAAAAAACAAAAACATTTTTGAGGCAAGAGGACGACTGTGCACCACAGGACCCCCTGTGGAGAAACGGGATTAATTCTGCAAATTCATCCGCAAGTGGCTAACACGATAAGTTCCCATATGCCATCTTTACCCCGATTTCCCATTTGATCAAGGAATTCGAGAAAAACGGGCCGGGGTAAATTCTGAGCCTTCATCTTACAAGTGATTAATACCCGAAGTTCCCACATGCTATCTTTATCCCGAATTTCCAAATTTTTTTTCAGTGAATTTGATAAAAATATGGGGTAAAATCTAAGGGTTCATCCTCCGAATTAAATAGATCCCAAGTTGCCATAGCCAGCCAATCTTTAACCCGATTTTCCATTTTTTTTAATGAATTCTAGAAAAACGGGATAAATTCTACGAATTCATCCGCACCAGGTGATCTGTGACGTCATTGCGGGGGCCTGGGGAAAGAAATTTTAATGCCGTATCCCACAAACCAACGCGCGCATCGATTCAATCCGTTTTCAAATCATGGCGGCCGGTTGGCGTGATGCGAGGTCGATGTAGCTAAAGACTTTCGCACTTTAACAAGTGAGAAGACTTGTCATGGGTAGTTTGAACAATGCAGCTACTACCATGAAAAGAAACTCCGTGTCCACACTTTGACAGCTTTTCGCGATGAACATTGCAGACAATCCAAACGTAAGCTCGATGTACTCATGCATTATTGTATGAAGTTTGCTTTTTTATTTCTTACTTATGTACTGGATCGGGCATTCGCTTTATCATAGTTAATCGATTAACTGTGGCTTTATCAACAGTAAATGTTATTGGTATTAAAGCTGTCTTTTTTCTGGGAATGGTGTGTTTGTGTTGATTTTATTTTTTATATGTGCTGATTTTAAAGAAGTTTTGATCGAGCTTTCGTTGCTCTCTGGAAGTCAGTTCCATTGTCGCGGGTGGCACAATATTGGCGAGCTTTTTGACGTGGCGATATTCAGCATTTAAAGTACTTTTAAATGTGTATTGTTTTTTTTGCCGGCTAATTGTTTTTATTTGTTTGGATGTCTTGTCGGGCAAAGGAAAATGTGATTCAGTAATTCGACTTCATTGCCCATTTCAAAACTGTGGTAAATTTTACCAAAACAAAAAGAATTTAAACGAATATCTTCGTCTTTATCCGGAGGACAAACTGGATGGCTTGTCAACCTCTCGGAAACGGGTTTCATTAAGACAATGTGCAGAAAAATTTTTAGACGACAAGAGTAATCCTTATTCCAGGAAGCAAAGGGTCAGTGAACTGCTGAACTGTCTGAACGATGAAGAACTTGTGGATTTAGTTTTACCAGAGATTGCCAAAATCGTGTCACCTGTGGTCTTTTTACTGCAAGGAAGTGATGGAAATCATGATTTTTATAGCAAATTATGCAAGTTCAGAGATGAACTTTTCCTGCACTACCCAGAACTTCAAGCACTGTATTGTCCAGATCCCTCACCAAGCACTGGTTTCCACAACCAGAGGCAAGTGTTCACTGAAATAGTTCAAAAGAACAAACCTAATTCTTGCGACTGGCTCCTTGAAATTGACAATGGTTCTTTTTTCAAGGATGTTGTTATGCCTTGTGTTTTTAAAAAACAGCACTCGGCATTTTTGGAATTTTCTTGTGGAATTGTCGTATAACTGTTTATCCCTATTTCCATGTTTTGATTGCATTCGAAAATCAAAACAATTTCACAGCTCGTACTCTGCATGTGCAATACATCCAAACTTGACATATCCATTCTTAACCCCTTTTTCCATTTTTCACTGAATGTGGAAATTCTCGTAAAAAGGCAATAAATTCTGACAATTTATCCAGCAATTAGAATATATCCTAACATGCCAAATCCAATCTTCACCGCAACTTTCCACTTTCTCGATCAACTGTAGAAACACGGGGTTAATTATAACAATTCATCCTACAAGTGGATAATATCATAACTTTTCCATATCCAATCTTTACCCCGATTTGTTCAATTAACTGAAGAAAAACGGGAATCGTGAAAATTCGATTGGTTAACATCATGACTTGCCGTGTCCAATCGTTACCCCGATTTTCCATTTGTTCAATGAGTCCCGAGAAAGCCGTGATAAGTTCTGACAATTCATCACGCAAGTGGAATAAAACCTTAGTTGCTATATTGAAATCTTTACCCTAATTTTCCATTTTTTTCGTTTATTAGAGACAAATAAGGTAAAATCTGACAATTAATCCCACATGTGGGATATGCCAAAAATGGGGTAAAATCGGACAATTCATCCTGCAAATCAAACATATTCCAACTTGTTATGTGTAATGTTTACCCGACTTTTCATTATTTTCAGAGAATTCTAAAGAAAAAAGAATTCATGTCATAAAAAAAATATATTCCAACGCGCTGATTGAATTATAACAGTCTGTACATCCCTGATTTTCCGTTTTTTCTAATAAATTCGGAAAAAACGGGGTTAATTCTGAAAACTCACCTCTTAAGTAGAATACATTCTAAGTTTCCATATCCAATCTTGAACCCGGTCTTCTATTTTTATTTCAAAGAATTCCAGAAAAAAAGGGGACGGTAAGTTATGAGAATTTATACCGTAAGCGCTCATATAGGATTCAACAGTA